ATTCTTGATCTACAGAAACTTGGAGATAGTAAGTGTTGTTTTGAGCTGTTAAATTTTGGAGTAATTTGTTATGCAGCAATAGATAACTAATACATTAGCCTGATTTTTTTTCTTTATATCCTTTTTGACTTCTGTCCTCAAAAGATGGGCAGATAAAGCGTCCTCTTCCAGGGCTTCAAATTCTCACTTTCCAGGGAAAGAAAAAAATCAATCTTCCTGGCTGATAAAGAATCATGCCAATTTCTGAGTCATTAATAGTATTTCCCAAAACACTTTTATTTACCTCCCATTTTCTCAGCAAAATGAAAAACAACTTGTTTAGATTCAGATTTGAATGCAAGTAGATAAGGACAGAATAATTGCAATGATTTGGAGTTCATGGGTATATTTGTGTGGCTTATTTTTTATATATATAAATATACACACATACATAAATGTATATGAATTATTGTAATTCTATATATATCTATGCATTACATATATGAATTACTATAATTGTATAATTCCTATAAGGACAACTTCAGTATATTGGATGTTTCTAGGTGATCATAATTATACATCTATTGAAATAAGCCTGTAGTTCCTACAAGTAGAAGAAAATAATTTGCTGAGATGTCAGCTGGGGATTCTTCCCGGAAAACCCTGGAAGTGGAGAGCTACCACACAAGATTCAGTGCCTGGACACCTTTTAGCAACAAGTCATTAAATAGACAGGTGAGTTACATATTCTGGAATAAAACTGGTTTTATTTGTAAGGTTAATTTTACTGTGATATATTGGGTCTCATGTTGCCATAGTTTTAAAGAAAACCCCTCTAAAGAATTTAGTTTTTCAGTCAGTTTAAACAAAAATAAACCTAGCTTTAATCTCTCCCCAGTCCCCAGCTCCTACCTTATGGGCAGTTCCAGATCTGCCTCCCTTTTCCCTCTGTACCTCCAGACACAAAATAGAGACCTTAGAGACACACGTGTTACTGTGGTGGGGAAAAAGATGACAGGAAGGTGCTTTTAATGGTGGTGGTGGTATGGGCGTGTTCATGCCTGTCTCTCTGTGTGCTTCTGTAATCTTCTTTTCCCTCCTGCGCCAAGCGCATGGTTCCACATGGCCTGGAGATGCCCACTCCTACTTTAAGGTAATGCAGGAAGTCATCATTCAGTGGCTTAGGGCAGCTCTGGCAGTGGAGAAGGCAAACTGAGTTCTCGGAGCTCTCGTGGGTTCAGTCTCGTTCACAGGGGAAGGAGACTAGCCAGGGCGAAGGCTAAGGCCCGATGTATGAGACAGTGAGTTTGTCTATGTCTATCTGAGCAAAGTTGGACTGAAACCCAGGTGTGGGGACGCTGGTCCTTGGTGTATGTCTTCCCTGGAGACATTACTAACAATGGCTATTTAGCAATGCTTATTAACTTCCAGCGTGGAGGGTGCCATGAAGATCCATGGTTAGTGGGTTAGTGAAATCATACCTACTTCAAAAGGTCCTGTTTTCACAATTAAATGAGTGTAGCCTGCGTGTGTTTTCAAGATGAAATGTATGGACTCTGTTTCCCTGGGCCTCCTTAGCCTAGGTAGAAACAAGAGCCAGGAAAAACCTCTTTGTTTTTCAGAGGCCCTCGGTAATTACATCCCCGCCAGTGTTTTCCACCAGCCCACCCAACAAGTCTGGGCTCGTTGGTATCCCTGGGTAAAAACAGTTTAAACTGAAACGATAGACCCCGACTACATATGTGAAAGCGCTTTATGAGTGTAATACGATATGCAAATATTAGTTCTGAGGTTGCTGGTAGATCATCTAAAGAACGTTTAGCAATGAAGAACATGCTGAACTGTGCAGTGACATGTCATTTTCCCTCCTTACAGCTTTTTCAGGAAAGAGTTGCTCTTGTAAGTCATTGGTTTGACCTCTGGACTAACAAGCAACGTCAAGAATTCTTATTCACGATTTTTTTACGATGCAGTAAATCGCAGTTAAGGTAAATGTAGCCTAACGATGTCATTATCATCGGTTCTTAAAGAAAACAAAATATAATAAAATTTTATATAACCTTTAAGGGTTTATATTTTTTCCTAGAAAAAAAAGCAATTGATATTTTAAGATTTATGAACAGACTCTGCTTCTTCCTGGAGGCTGAAGTGGAGCCGCCATGGAGGGGCTTTAACACCTTCATATTATCGCAGGACTGTTTCTTTTTGGCAAAAACTTGCCAATGGCTTCAGCAAATGAATTTTCAACATCCTTTCAGGATATTAAATTCCCCTGGGAATTATAAGACAGACAATATATTCCAAATGGATATCTGGGACATAGGTAGGCACTCTGTGAATAATCGTTAAATAAATGGATAGATCCGAAAAACATATGACAAGTGACAATGGTAGCAACATTTAGGAATGTGGGCAAGACTTGTACAGCAGTGGTCTGGGATTGCCAAGGGCTTCTTGTTCTTATTCTTCCCCCTCCCTCACTTTATGTCTGTAATTTCCTCTAAAATACTCAGCATAGACAGTGTGACATTTGTTAGTTGAAATTACACCCAGGGGCAGTTCGTGTTCTGATCGGGAATTAACAGATTAATGACTCTAGGGGTCATTAGCTAGCTCTAGATGGGAAAGGTCACAAAACCTCAGTTTATCAGATACTTTGCTAATTAGCATAGCAAATATCAGAGATTAGTTATTATCAGAGATTAGTTATTATCAGTGGCTTGTAAATGAGCCAGACGAATGTTGGAAACTTATGCTGGTTGGTGAAATTAAAGGTATTTGTAATGTGTGGACTGACCAGAATATTCCAGAGAGCCCTCCAGCCCTGCCCAGACCTGAGTAAGAGACTCCAGCTAAGCTGGTGGCAGGTGCCTGAAAGAAAGGTTTCCCAGGCTTCCTGCCCAAATAGGTGGCCTTGTGTCAGTCTGGGGGATTTCTAGTATCCTGAGGCCAGCAATGAGAGTAATAACAAAATGCTATTACATTGTCCTTTCTCAATTGAATGAACCTCTCACCCGGGGCAGAGAGAGCTGGGACTTCATCGAGCTTACAGAGGAGACCGTATGAAATGGTTCAGGCTTATCTACTAATGTTTGTTTAGGGAAGCTCTAGGTGTTCACTAGAACCTGGTGGTGAGGTAGCTAACTTTTGAATTTCTTAAGAAGCTACCGAAAAGGATCTGAGAATTGTGCATGACCAAATTGGTTTGTTGTTTTTTTTTTTTTTGAGACAGAGTCTCACTCTTTTTGCCCAGGCTAGAGTGAGTGCCGTGGCGTCAGCCTAGCTCACAGCAACCTCAAACTCCTGGGCTCAAGCGATCCTCCTGCCTCAGCCTCCCAAGTAGCTGGGACTACAGGCATGTGCCACCATGCCCGGCTAATTTTTTCTATATATTTTTAGTTGTCCAATTAATTTCTTTCTATTTTTAGTAGAGACGGGGTCTCGCTCTTGCTCAGAGCTGGTCTCGAACTCCTGAGCTCAAACAATCCACCCGCCTCAGCCTCCCAAAGAGCTAGGATTACAGGCGTGAGCCACCGCGCCCGGCCTAGAATTGGCTTGTTTTCGCTTACAGTACCTGCCTCCCACTCTTTCTTACACTTCTTCCTACCCCTCTCTCTGATGGGCCATTTCTGCTCTCCTTCTCCTTGTCAGCTACTTCTGCATCCGTGGGTGCAAAGCAGATCGTTGAGGTACTCTTCCTGAGGGAGTCACTGGCAGGAGACAGGCACCTTGCTGGCTCTGTTGAAAGAGGCTACAAAGACAGGCCACAGAAAAATAAACCCTTCAGTCAGTGTTAAAGAATCAGGTGGAAGGGACAGTTTAGGATAGTCATTGGCTATGTTTCCTTTTACTCCAACTTTGCAGCTATCAAGCTAAGAAAATAATAGTCCAGATCCCATATTTATAAGTGCTTTATGCGTCGTATTCTACGCTCATGTACCATAAACCAGGCAATTTTTGTTGTGACCACTGGAGGTCATTAGAGATCTTGTGGTAAAATTTGAGGCAGCTTAACCTTAGGCCTGACATTTTTGTCACTGGAAATTGCATCCTTTGTCTAGTACTGAATTCTTCTTTCTGTGGAACAAAAATATGACACTAACCTGTTCAGTGAAATTACTTTGTTTTTTTCAATAGGGTACAATTCCGTGGTTTTAGTACATTCAGTGTTGTGTAATCATTACCACAATCTAAATTTAGAACATAATCACCCCCCGAAGAGCCCCCCTACCCATTAGCAGTAACTCCCCATCTGCATCCCCCAGATCTGGGGAAACACTCATTTACTTTCTGTCTCTATAAATTTGCCTATTCTGGACTCTTCGTATAAATAGAATCATACGGTATACAATTTTTTGTGACTGGCTTCTTTCATGTATGATAATCTTCTCAAGGTTTATCCATTTTGTGACATGTATCAGTATTTCTTTCCTTTTTATTGCCAAATAATATTCCATTGTATGGATATGCCATATTTTATTTATGCATTCATCAGTCGTTGGACACGTGGGCTGATTCCCCATTTGGGCTATTGTAAATAACGCTGCTATGAACATCTGTGTTCAAGCTTTTGTATATGGATGTTTTTATTTCTCATAGGTATATATTTAGGAGTGGATTGCCAATGGTAACAGGAAAATCACCTTTTATTAAGAGTTTCTTTTGAATCATGTTTATTCCTGTAATCTCTCTTCCCCCATAACTATGAATAAGATTGGTAATAAATGAGAGAAATTAGCATTGTTCGAATGCCTGAAATCTTTATAGGTAAGCTGAACTATATTTGTGCAATACCTTTTTTCAAGGCGGAGAGGCCATTGTTTTAGATGTTATGTTTTATGATTTCCAAATACTTTTGTTTTAATTCAGGCAGTTACAGTTATAAACAGGGTATTGCAATATTGGTGGAAAATATGTCATCACAATTTTCTTTCAAAGTTTTTTCTTAATCTCTATGAGATATATTCAAATATCTAAGAGTTTTCTGTTCTAATATTCTCTATTATTAAGTTTTAAGGTGATTTCTTACATGGAATTTTATGATATTTAAGACTTTTTTTTTTAAAAGTTCAGCTTCTTAAATCATCTTTCTGGCAAATTCTCCTTTTCACTCCACCTTAAATGTCACCTCTCCTGGGAAGCCTTCTGTGTTCATCTTTCATGCCTCAATCATGGCTTTCACCCAGTACGTTAAGCTTCCGTGTCCGCATGACTAATGGTTCCAGTGGTGTCTTTCCCCTGCCACTTGACGAGTTTGACCTTTCCTGTGACTCCTTAAAGGAAACGGGCTGTTTGTGTCTGTCACACTTGGAGAAACCTATGAGGAGTTTGACTCAGTCTCCTTGCCGTACCGGTGAGACCGGTTTCAAATCGCCTGTGCTCAGCGGCCAGGGGCAATGCCTTACACAAAGGCCTTTCATTCCAGAGCTGGAGCTGCTCAAACTTGTAGCTTCCCTGGGTGGGTTGGGCAACGTTCATGCAACTGCATTCCCAAGAGGGGACTGGATTGGCCCTGGGTGTGTGCGTGTGCATGTGCATGCGTGTGTGTGCATGCGTGTGTGTGTGCGCACCTGTGTGCATGTGTTGGGGGGAGAGGGAGATCACGACCAGCCCATGAGAGGTCAGCTCTTGTCACTTGTCTCCATCAGAACAGACTGGAAATGGGGTGGGAGGGCCGAAAAATGTGCCAACCAAGGTGTATTTCAGAGAGAACAGCCCCCACTCCCACTTTAGGACACCCCCCCACCCCAGTTCTTTCCAAGCAGCCCCTGCAAGGGCCCAGTTGAGGACATCTGTCTCAGTTGTGATCTGTGAGGAAATCAGGTGTGTAGTTTTTCAGAGACAACACACTTCCAGGTTAATTTTGAAAACAGAGCAGCTGTATCACTCTGAGTTACTGAATGTTTCTGTGTGGAGGTGGTGGAAGTGTTAAGGGGAAAAAGTCACTCAATGACATGTTAAAGCACAGTAAGGCGGACATTATTCAGGACCGTGGTGACAGGAACAGGGACCACCGCAATGAGGCCTTGCGGCGGGGAGAGAGCTTGGGCTCCACTCCAAAGACAGCAGGAGCAAGTGGGCATTTACAGCCGAGCAGTGGGCTGGGGGTCAGTGGGTGGAAATTTCTAAGAGGCCCCATCAGGGGGAAGGAGGATGCCGGGTACACTGACCTCACAGGACTCTGCTGAAGACAGGCCTGGGTGACCAGACATTGCCTCGGGGAGGGAGGAGGAGGAACCCGATCACACACTGAGGGTGGGGAGGTCTTGCTACACTGACTGAGCAGAGTTCTTTGCTAAAACTGGATTTCACAAGGAAGTGCCCAGCTGAGCCAAGGAGATTCGGTCAAGCAGAGACTCTGTCAGAGAGGAGAGGGGAGTATTCAAAGACAAACTGTACACTTGTTCTAAAATTACTGCTATTTAAATATCTGAGGCAAATCTGGATATTTGGAACATTCTGACCCTTCCTTTCCCGCAGCCCAAATTCTGGACACGTTCCCGTCCTTCCACACAGGTTGGCTGGTTATGGACAACTATGGTATTAGCATTTTGCTATTGGGATGGTTTTTAGGGGTGGATGAAGTTAAAAAAGAAAATTCTTGAGTTTAAAAGGAAAGGAGAAACCAAAAACCCAAAGCTGTTTTATTGGGTAGGGGATGGGGCCAGAATGGATGGACAGAAGGGCACTGGCTTACATCAGGCCAAGTCCATGCACTTGAAGTTCTCCTCCCATTTTGTGAGTAAGTGGGGCTGTTCTCCCTTTACAGTGTTTAACTTCTGTGTGCAGCACTTAGCACCGCCTGACATTTTGTTACGTACAGTGCTTGTTTATTCACTTTCTGCCTACTCCCCTAGAACGAAAGCTGCATGGTGACTCTGTCTCTAGCACTTAGAGCAACATACAGGCACCTAGTAGCCACTCCATCAATGCTTGTTGAATGAATTTGGATATCCAAAACACTCCCAATTACAAAAATAACAAAAAG